TTTAAAATTTTTAGGGTCAAAATAAATAATAGTGGAGATAGCGGACATCCTTGTCTGGTTCCTTTTCTTATATAATTATATATAAGAAACTTGAGAAGATATATATATTATATATATATATATATACATACACCAATTGGCAAAGGTAATAATAAATGATGAAATGGGACCAAAGGGCTATCAGCGAACCGAAAACGAGCCCTCTTCTTAAGCCACTGCGGGCCAGACGTCTTCGAGATGGCCAAGTCCCTCTGCAAGCCAACCCCAGTCCAGACGGTCCCCTGGGACGTCCTTCAAGCAAACTTGAGAGCCCACTACGCTCCAGTGCCTTCGAAATTCGTACAGCGCTATGAGCTCTGACAGCGTGTACAAAAAGAAGGAGAACTGGTCAGCGCATATGTGGCCGCACTTCGAAAAGCCGCAACGCATTGTGACTACAGAGACTTGGACGACGCGCTACTCGAGCAATTGATTTGCGGCGTTAAAGACACTCGTTTACAGAGGCGTCTCCTGGCCAAGCCAGACCTAACACTAGCCGGCGCGTTGGACGAAGCCCAAGCACACGAGGCATCAACGAAGGCTTCTGAAGTGCTGCAGCGACCACTATCAAGCAAAGACGGGCCGAAAACAGCCCCCGTTCACAGAGAAGAGGCGCGAACCAGCACAGAGGAAGAGTCGGATGAGGACGTCTTCCATACAGAAAAGAAAAAGAGCGAGCAAAAAGACCTAGCACGAGTTTGCAGAGCTCAATTTCCGCATAGTCACAAGCCACGTGACTACCGCGACCAACCAGAACCGGCTCGTTCAGAACAGCCAATCAAAGATGATGGCGCAAGAAAACGGTGCGAATCTCAAAAGCGAGAGACCTACAGCACGAGAATCGGCCAAGCCAGCACGACTGAAGACGAGAAAGTCTACACAAAAGTAGAAATCGATGGCAGACTGTGCGAAATGGAAATCGACACCGGGTCTACACTATCAATAATGTCCTGGACAACACTCAAAGCACTCCTGCCTAAGTTCCAGAAAACCCAGCTGTCCCGACAGAAAGTTCGCCTCCTCGACTACCAGGGAAACCGAGTTCCCGTAGAAGGCGTGGGCACGTTCCGGGTCACCTACGGCGAGTTCCAGAAGGAGCTGCCCCTGACCACCGTAAGCAAGCCGCTACCGAGTCTCCTGGGCATGGCGTGGTTCCGAGCCCTCGGCATGGGCTTCACAGGCGTTCACAGCATCGGTGGGCCATCCCTCAAAAAAACCCTTCTTCATGAATTCCGGGACGTTTTCGAAGAGACTCTAGGCAAGTAAGTGGGGACCCCTATCTCCTTTAATTTAGACCCCAACGTAGCGCCAATCAGGCTAAAAGCAAGACGGGTTCCATTTGCTTTAAAGCCCAAAATTGATGCAGAGCTCGACAAGCTCATTAAGCAAGGGGTGTTAGTTCCCGTAGATCACGCCAAGTGGGAAACCCCAATAGTCACGCCAGTTAAATCAGACGGATCAATTAGAATTTGCGCTGACTATAAGTGTTCGATTAATAAGGCGTTGTAGCAGAGCACCTATCTCGTTCCGATCGTCCACCATCTACTACACTCCCTGGGGCCTGGCAAGCTATTCGCAAAACTAGACCTTGCGCAGGCATACCAGCAGCTGCCAGTAGATGACGCTACGGCAGAATCGCAGACCATAGTAACTCACAGAGGTGCCTTTAAATGCACTAGGCTACAGTTTGGGGTTAGCATCGCCCCAGGGCTCTTCCAGAGTACCATGGAGCGCCTTCTACAAGGCCTCCCAAGAGTCATCCCGTATTTCGACAACGTTCTAATTAGTGGCCAAGATGAGACTCAGTTAGGACAGAGGGTTAGACAAGTCCTAACCAGATTCCGAGAAGCGGGACTCAAACTCAAACGAGCAAAATGTAAGATAGCGGTTCCATCAGTGGAATTCTTAGGCTACCGAATCGACGGCACGGGCATTCACCCCACAGAAAGCAAAGTCAGGACCATCCAGAACGCACCCACCCCTAAATCGAAGCCCGAACTACAGGCCTTCTTGGGGCTGCTTAATTTCTACATGATGTTTTTGAAGCGCAAAGCCACCATTGCGGAGCCACTGCACAGGCTCCTTGGAAAAAACGTTCCCTGGGTGTGGGGCAAATGAGAAGCGGCTGCATTCAGCGCAGTAAAGAGACTTTTGTCTGAGGACAGTTTCCTCATCCAATACAATCCTGAACTACCTCTAGTGTTGGTGTGTGACGCTTCCCCTTTTGGCGTAGGCGTGGTTTTAAGCCATAGACTGCCGAACGGGTTAGAGGCGACCATCGCCTATTACTCTCGCACTTTGTCCAGTGCTGAAAGGAACTATAGCCAGCTGGACAGGGAGGCTTTAGCGGCCGTAGCTGGGGTCAAAAAATTTCACGAGTACTTGTTTGGCCGTACTTTTGAACTCATTACGGACCACCAGCCTCTTTTGGGTCTTTTGGCTGGAGATAAACCGACCCCGGCTGCACTTTCTCCCAAGATGACCAGATGGTCCATATTCTTAGCCGCCTATTCCTACAAACTGTTACACCGGCCGGGCAAGGCTCTGGGACGTGCTGACGCTCTCAGCCGATGCCCCTTGCCCGAACTATTGGACAACCCGACTCCGGAAGCCCCGGTGCTACTCATAGACATTGTATCCCCGGGCCCTATTTCTTCAAGCGAGGTGGCTAGGGTTTCTGCCAGGGACTCTGTCTTGCACACTGTGATGGGCTGGGTGATGCGGGGTTGGCCTCCCAAGGTGGACAATGGTGATTTTCAATTGTATTTTAACAAGAAAAACGAACTGTCAATGTTGGGGGGTTGCTTATTGTGGGGAGACAGGGTGGTCATTCCATCACGGTTAAGGCACAGGGTCCTAGAAATGCTGCACGGGGGACACCCTGGTATTGTTCACATGAAAGGCCTAGCTCGTAGCTATGTGTGGTGGCCACATCTCGACCAAGACGTCACTGAGTGGTTGGGGAAGTGCAGGCCCTGCCAGGAATCCCGCCCAGATTCCCCTATAGCTCCTGTTCGGGACTGGGAAAAACCAAAGGGACCGTGGGGGAGGATTCACATCGATTTCGCTGGCCCGTTCCATGGCCAGAACTTCTTAATCATTGTAGATGCATATTCTAAGTGGCTCGAGATTGCCCTAATGCCACCTACCACTTCTGAGGCCGTAATCAAAGTACTCAGAAAACTGTTTGTAACACACGGGTTACCGGACACCCTGGTTTCTGACAATGGGCCCCAATTCATGGCAACTCAATTTGAGGGCTATCTAGCCGAGTTAGGCATAAGACATGCATTATCCGCTCCTTTTCATCCGGCTTTGAATGGCCTTGCAGAGAGATTTGTGAGAACGGCCAAAGAAGCTGTGTCCCGGCTCAATGCAGGGGACTGGCAGGCTAGAATAGATGAGTTCTTAGCTGTACAGCACGCCACCCCGTGCCCAACCTCGGGCCGCAGCCCAGCCGAGCTCTTAATGGGCCGAAAGCTAAGGTGCATTCTCGATCGATTGCATCCCAATTACTCCCCCGATAACTTCAAGGGGGAAGGGGGAGGACTAAGGCAATTCCAAGTGGGAACACCAGTATTTGCCAGAAACTACACCAACGGGCCCTTGTGGGTAGAGGGAACCATCGTAGGAATTTCAGGTCCAAAGTCATACACAGTTGATATAGGGCATGGTAAAATTTGGAGGAGGCATATAGATCAATTGCGTAAACGTTTACAAAATGAAAATCCAATTACTGTAAATCCTAACTATCAAGGTCTTCCTGACACAGCTACCTCAAGCCCGAGTAAGCCGGAATACTTATCTGGCAACTTAGAGTTCCAGCGCCGCCCCAGAGAGTCAACACTCCCAGCCGGGGATAGCCACACCTCCGGAGAAATCCAGGAGGTTCCATTGGCGGAGCCGGGAGAGACAGGAGGTCCCTCCGACTGGCTCGACCCCTCGCCAACAACTGAACTGCGCAGGTCAACCAGGACTAAGACACGCCCTGGTCACCTGCGTGATTTTGTATGTAAATATGTAAATAGATAGGTTAAGTGCCTTCTGGGAGTGGAGGGGTGTTATGTATATATCTATTTTGTGCGGGAAATTCAAATGTTCAGTGAATTCTGATTGGCCCATGGTTGCCTCTGAAAAGTATATAAAGAGGACTGTTGCCTGTGTTGCTTTGCTGAAGTCTCACCCTGAATTAAAGAGCTGTTGTCACCAGCTTGCTTGTGCCTCTCGTTATTCCCGCGCTACAACACAATCAGCAAAGCAAATAGTATTTACTAAAATACTAAAACCATTTATTTATATTATTCCCTTTCAGCAATTTCAGATATAGGTAGACCTTGCTTACGGATCACAATTGGAACCAGCAACTCTGTTGCCAAGTGATATGATCATAAAGTGGAATGTCACATGATACCTGACTTAGGATATCAGTTCCAGTGCAGTCGCTGAGCAAATCATCCATGGCCATCAAGCGGAATGTCATGTGACTGATCTGCAACCTCCTGCTAGCTTCCCTATTGACTTTGCTTGTGGAAAGTTTTTGGGGAAGGTCACAAATGATGATCACAGGACACTACAACCAACATAAATGCACACTGGTTGCCAAATGGCCAAATGCTGATCATATGATAGTGAAGATGCTGCAACAACCACAACTTCAGGACTAGTTATAAATCTCTTTTCAACATTGCTGCATTTTAGAACTGTCGCTGAACACCCTGTCAGTAAACAAGGACTACTTGTACAATGGAAATTGATATGTCCATGCTATAATATATAGAGAGAGGACTATGCAGGGTTGAAGGAGCTCTCATACCAACCCACTTTACAGAATTGCTATTAAGGGGATAAAATTAAGAAAGATTCCCCTCCTCCTAATAAAATACCTTAATCTGAACGTCTAAGAAAAGGGCAGGATACATTTCTCAATAGTTCTAATAATATCAGAATAAAAGTTCCTTTACCTGAACACTGGAGAGACCAGGGAATGGTAAACTTCTAGAAAAGAAAGGTTTCCAAAATTTGGTTTTATTGACATCAAAATTTATTCTTGGTGGAGAATCATACTGTTGAATATTAAACCAAACCTAAGAGAGAAAAAACCTCTTTAAGTATTATCTCTGTTATGCAGTAGTAATTCAGGACTAATTGATCTGGAATGAATCCACAAAGCTATTGAGGTTTCTTTTACCTTCACCCAGATAGGGGTGATATGGAGGGTTCTTTCTGACTTTAATTTGAACCTCTGACACAGTGGCAGGATGTGGCCAATAAGTGGGGAGGAAACTCAATTGAAATCAACAGACATTCGGAAGCTCTCCAGATCCAAGCTTAAACATTCTGTGTTTCCCCGAAAATAAGACCCAACCCACAGTGGTGAACTCAAAAAAAATTCCCTACCAGTTCTGTGGGTGTGGCTTGGTGGACATGGCTTTGTGGTCATGTGACCAGGTGGGCATGGCCAACTTGTAAAATGTGGTGAAACTCACTTAACAATGCTCTTGCTTAGCAACCAAAATTTTGGCCTCAATTGTAGTCATGTTTCCTTTCTTTCTTTCTTTCTTTCTTTCTTTCTTTCTTTTTCTTTCTTTCTTTCCTTCCTTTCTTTCTTTCTTCCTTCCTTTCTTTGTCTCTCTCTCTCTCTCCCTTCCTCTTTCTTCCTCATTCTTTCTCTCTTTCTCTTTCTTTCTTTCTCTCTTTTTCTTTCTTTCAGCGTCAGGAGAAGGAATAAAGTGCTCCGGGAGGACAGGCAGCCTGGCCCAGAAACGGCACGTCCCTGGTCATGGGCTGGATGTGGGCAGCAGGACCCGAGGTGGAGGGTAAGGCAAGCGGGCGCACCAGGCCAAAAGGCAAGCGAGCCTCGCCATGTCCCCCTGAGGTGGCTCCTTGGCCGAGCGCAGCAGGTCTCCCCCCTCCACAGCGAGCGTTGGCCTTACCTTCTAGATCCTCCGCTGGTGTATTTTTTTGGCATCTGCCTGCCTTCTGCCTGCCCTCCCGAAGCATCTGCCTGCCGAAGATATCTGCCTGCCCTCCCGGAACACCACTGCCGCCCCTCTCAGCCCCAGCACAGTGGCTGTGTCTCCACCAAGGGCTGGCCTCCCACCCACTGGCCAGGCCGGGCTTGATGCCAACCTTGGAAGGCAAGTGGGCGTGGGAGACCACTGGGAAGGCTGCGTGGAAGGCAGGCAAGCATGGCAGGGCTGCGGGGAAGGGACTAGGCTGCTAGCTCCCTTCCCCGTGGCTGGGTGGCTTCGACATGCTTGCCTGCCTTCCAAGCGGTCTTCCGCTTGCCTGCCCACACAAGTTGGCCACGGGGATGCTGGGAAGACCAGAGGGAAGCATGGCAGGGCTGTGGGGAAGAGAGTAGGGGAGGCAGGCTGGGACAGTGGAAAGCAGAGATTGGGCGGGGCGAGCGAGCAGCAACCGGGCGACTGATTCAGGGGCATGGCCAGTAAGAAGTCGCTACTAGTTCGGCAACCCAGGCTAAATGTCTGCTACCAGTTCGGCAACCCAGACCAAATGTCTGCTACCAGTTCGCCCGAACCAGTCTGAACCGGTCAGATTTCACCCCTGTCACCCCAAAAACAAGCCCTACCCTGATTTTGGGGGGTGGGCCTAACCTCTATCACAAAAATAAGCCTGGGGGATGGGCGTGGCCAGCACAAGAGGTGAGCATGTGGAAGTCGAAGGTATCTGGCAGCCCCTTGGCACAATGCAAATGTCATTAATTCCAAGCATGGAGGCAGAGGCAGGGGAGAGAAGACAGGTGATCCAGATGTGTGTGCAGCTGCCTGACTCACGGGAGGCTTGTGTGGCAGCACCGGCAGCAAGTAAAGGCATGGGGGATGGGGGAAGCAGGCGATTCCGACACCCTGTGTGGGTTTTTGGTCAGTGCGGCCACAGGCAAGCCGTGAGACAGTGGGACAGGGTGGGTAGTAAGTTGGGATTGCCTCTGCCTCTGTCTGGCTCTGTTGCACACTCTTCCTGTCTGGCTCTGCTGTTTCTGTCTGGCTCTGCTGCGCACTCCTCTGCTTCTGTCTGGCTCTGCTGCGCTAATAGCTCAGTTTCAAACCGTCCCTTTTGCAAGCACATAAAGCTTTGAGTCTCCATCATTTCTCAAAGCAAATGGCTCTGTCCCAAGCACCCAATAGGTGACCAAACACTTTTCACCCAGATGGAGAATGACAGAGACTCAAAGCTTCGTGTGCTTGCAAAAGGAGTGATTAGCTCTGTTTCAAAGAGTCCCCTTTGCAAGCAGATGAAGCTTTGTTTCCCTCTGGGCAAAAAGTGTTTCAGCAGCTACCACCAGCCCTGCCCTCTCTGTCCCACTGTCTGCTTGCCTCAATCAGGGCCAAGCTCTCGACATGCCCCGGCCCCCATCTGCCCTATCAGGAGGACGAAGAGCCCCCATGAGGTGCCATGGCCAAGAAGTGTCCCAGCAGTAGCTGGGCCAGCTGAGAGCTTGGCCCGTTGCAGCCACGGGGAAAGCAGGCACTGGGATGGAGAGGGCGGGGCCAACGGTAGCTGTGCTCTCACTCCCACCAGTCCCCATGCTCACTGCCTCCTGCACTTAAAAAAAATAAGACTTCCCTGAAAATAAGCCCGAATGCTTATTTTCAAGCCCAAAAGAAAATAAGTCTAGGTTTTATTTTCAGGGAAACATAGTATTACACACACTCTGCATTGTCATCATAAAAGAGTCTGGTAGAATACATTGTATCTCCAGAAAACGATGAAAAAATGAAATTTGCTTGTGCCTGTTGATTTGCACAAGCCATGATGTCACTTGCCCTCATTTTGCACAGCTGCTCAGTTGATTCTGGCTCTTGAACAGAAGGCAACTACAGCCCTTGCTTCTGCTTTCAACTGACTCACTTGGAAGAGAATTGGCACCAACCTTCTGGGGTGGGAGAAAGAAGGCACCTACTCTTCATATGGCTGTAAATAAATTTTATGCCAGTTGGAGCCAGGCTGACAAGCTCATCATACACTGGATGCACAAGGTATTTGTCAAGAATCTGCTTGGCAAGATCCAGAGAACATCTTTTGCATGTGGATTAAATTCTAGGTATCCTCAACAACAGAGCACATCTCCTGGTGCAAGACGAAAAGAAACCTATGTGCAGGCAAACCATCTGGTAGTGAGCCCAGGTAGCTGACAGGAACTGCTCAGCTGTGCTAGCAGGGCAGCTAGGGGATAGTTCACTTACATTGTCTGCAGAAATCAAACAGCTGACCCTTTTCAATGGACAGAAAGCATCATATTGTCCATAAAAATGCCCACGACTTGGATTCCAAATCACATACTGGTTTTGTTCCCAAGTTAGCACATAAGCTGTTGGTCCCTGGTGGGAAAAATAAAATTATTTACAATTTCCCCTTTCCCTTCTACTATTTGCCTATTAGTGCTTAAGACACAAATTCTAAATTAGCTAAAGTGGAGAATAGAAGACTGGCTCTTTCAGGTGATGTTCAGTTATTTCAGTGTAAACTGAACCCCTCTAATGAGCCAATGGAAGAATGTATAATCCAGTTCAGCAGTATAGAAGGAAATAATAACCCAGTTCAGCAGCATAGAAGGAAAATTTTGTTTTGGAAACTCTGGGACAACCTGCTCACTGTTACAGGGGGATAATCTCTGAACCAGGGTTTTTGTCTGCTTCTAAAATCAGTATGGACCATGACTGGTGAGGTAGGATGTTTTCTCATGCAAGGAAGTTTTATTGAAATGCAAAGCACAAACGCCTTACCTCCGGGACAGCATTCCCAATTAGAAGCCAGGCCTTTTTGCCAAGAGCAAGAAAATAATTACACAATAGCACAGCATGTTCTTCTTCGTCTCCAGCCAAAAGATCAAGGAACTGCTAACAAGTGTGAGCAAACAAATGATGCTGTTAAGAACTATTTTGTATCACTGAATATTTTGAATATTTAAATTCCACTTAAGGAGGTAGAATTATGAAAGGGCAACTATAAACTGCTACTACTTCAGCCTCCAGCTGTGTAATGAAAACAGCCATATCTTATTTTCATTTAAAGTGGTTCAACTTAGAACTACACAATCAGAAAATAAATATTCTTAACAAATGCATAACATCCTTTTATACAATAATTTAACTTACTGCAGCATGATTAAGGAAGGATAGTTAGGGATTTCTAGACCAAACTGGAACACTAAAATTGAAAGCGGATGGTGCCTGCCTGAAGAAAGCCTTTGATGTGATTTCAATTTCCATGGATCCTAAAAGGTCATATTATGCAGCAATACAGTTTTTCCACTGATTTATGTAATCCAATGCAGAAGAGCATTGTTAATAACATCACAACCCCAAGCAACTTTAATTATTCCACACACATCCCTATTGTTTTGGCATAAACAATTACAAAAGAACTTCCTTTGATTATAAACACATAGTTCTAGACTACGGGTGTCAAACTCGCGTCATCATGGAATGTATAGGGACTTTTTTCCCTTTCGCTAAACTGGGTGTGGGTGTGGCCAGTGCGTGACGCATTCGGCCCATGCACCATGAGTTTGACAGCCTCATGGTGCAGTCTAGACATCTGAAGCTTTTAACTTACATCAGAGGTACTCCACAGATCACAAATTCCAGCAAATGATACTGTATCAGGTAAGAAAGGAATCAGGGCTACATATCGGGCAACTAATTCCTATGTACAAAAAAGAGAAAGCAAAATCCTCTCATTAGCCTGAGGCCAAAGCTGTTATTGTTATTATAAACACAAGACTTTATCCTCTCTTTAGAAATGGTGGGTCGCTTGTGGTTTCTACTGGTTTCTACTGGGCTTGTTGCAGGCTAGATCAGGCTTTCTTCCAGATTGGTCCAAAATAATTCAATTTGGTTGCACCAAGTCAGGTCACTGTCCTTGGGCTGACTGGTCCACTTCTCAGAATGCCATGAAGCAGACCCATTGAGATTTAATGTTAGCAAAACAAAGAATTGAGGAGTCCTTGGTGCTCTCTGAGATTAGTTGTTTTATTGTACATGTTTCATTACCTAAACTAGGTAACTGATGATGTTACCTAGTTTAAGAAATGAAATGTCTGCAAGAAAATAACCACGCTCAGAGAGCACGAAAAACCCTTTATTTCAATCCTGAGCTACAAATATTCTCTTTTATTGAAGCAAAGAATTAAATCTTGGTTTGCATATTACAGATGTAAGTTCCTCAGAGAATAAAAATACGCACGGAGGTTTGCTGTGGACTGTCTGGATAAACTCGTAGGAGCTCTTCTGGGGGGTTGAGCGCTCTGATGAATCTCGTAACAAAGAGAGTTTTTCCACTGATGTCAATTACAGTGATCAGGCATTGGCGATCTGGAAATTTCAAGGCACATTTAGCTTTGTATCTTTCAGCTGCTTGAAGAAGCTTCTCATCTTCTTGAGTGTCAAGCTTGAAGAAAAAAAATCCAGGTTTTTTTTTTAAAAATGTTGCAACTAATGCATAAAACCTAAATAGCTCATATGATCATAGCCACAGACTACTCCTGTCGAGATTAATGCTTTGGATAAAAATGATATTTCTTGTTATGGATGGAAGAAAGGCACCAGGAGGATATTCAAAGGATACTTTGATTCAATGAAACTTCAGCCAAGGACCTCACTAGAGGGCAGAGTTAGTACCTGACCATGACTCTTTAAAGTAGGTGCATCTTTTTCTGGAATTGCACAACTATCCTGTGCCAAATGCCAGGGAGCTTGTCTTAATTGAGAGACATTTTCCACTGTTAATAAAACATGGGGCACTGAAACACACATTTCCATCTACAATTCATTACCAAATAAACACACAAAGGTTTGACTCTTCTATATATCTAATTCACAATATATTTCTCTCTTACTTAACTCTTTCACTTGTTTGTATGTCTTCAATTTCCTATTTCTCTTTTGATTCATTTTCCCCTTCCCTTTTTCTCTTCTCTGTAAATTCAGAAAATAGTGCAGTTATATAATAATAGTTGTCACAGCAATAGTTGTAACAGTAATAGTAAAGATTGTGGATATATCAGTATACTTGATCTCCACAGTATATTAAATAATCCCAATTCTGTACTCTGTCTCAGCACCGAACACACCAGCTTAGAAATAAAGTGTGTCTTGAGAGTTTTTGATGGTTCCTACATCTTGTAACAAGTATGATGTTCTACATTACTATTGTCAAAACAACCAGACACATATTTTGTACTGTATAAACACTAATTTTAAGTGTACAAGGAAACAAATGCACAGCAAACCAAATGCACAGTTCTAAGCAAGCTGTGTTATTTTTTTTTTTTAATTTAAACATCATTTATCTTCTTCAACATTTCATTCATCTGCACAGATTCAAGAAGGCCAGCAAGAAAGGGGTGGGGGGAAGATATGAACGCAATGCAATGGCGCAGAATCATGTGAAAGAATATAAAAACTAAGCTATTAAAATAATAAGGGGAATGTTTGACTATAATTATTGTTTTTCCAGAAGTAAGAAGGAATTGTGATTATTAGAAAAAGCAGTCAGCTTTCTAGCAAGACGTCATCAGAGAAAAGAAAAATCTGCCCATCTCTACTGAATGTAGATGACTGAACTCACTCTCAAGAAAGAGTTATGTAATCTTTGTTTCAAAGAAATCCTTCAAAATTCTGAAATTTCTGAAATCGAACCATCCATAACAGTAATTGGACCTGGACATGAATTTTCATGGAGCAAGTTCTGATTAAAAGGATGGGTTAAGGAAGAAGTTAAAGTTAATAGCACAAGAATTCCAACAGGTACTTTTGCTTCCAAACGGGAATGATACAGAAATAGAGATAGGTACATAAAGAAAGAAAGATAGCTATGCAATTCAAAATTGTTACTTTGGCTTGTTTTTTCCTAAATTTATGCAGGAATTCCAAGAAGCAAAAAACTTTATTCTCTGGAGAAATATATTGAATGTCCAACCCAAAACAGGCCTTGCCTTCCCTCTGCCAGCAGTGTGGACCTTGAACTTATGAAAACATTGCTTCACTCTCCCAAATCTCCAACTTTATTCTCATCTTATCATTTTATGGTTCAGCATCTATAGTTGCATCTTCAGTTATTTCCAAGTGACGATGGTCCAATAGCAACTCTAGGCCATATGCTGTTATACTGTTCTCTATAAAAGGACTCTAGGCAGACCCTTATATATTCTGTCATGAAGAAATTTCCAGGTAGAGCAGCAGACTCCATTATTTCTACCTTGGCAGCCCAGCCCGGCACAGGGAGGTGTGAGTGGCAGCATGCACGTGTGTATAGCTCCATTGATGTGAGTGGTGGGTGCATGTGCCCTCCACTTGCACAAATGGAGCTTTGCACATGAGCTGGTGATGCTTGCACTCATGCTTTAAGCTCCATTCATGTGAGTGGAGAGAGCTTAAGTGGAGGTTGCTTGTGCTAACGCATGAAGGGTGCTCATGTGCGAAGTTCTATTCGCATGAATGGAACTTCACGTACAAGCACAATCACCCTCTGCTTGTGCAAATGGAGCTTTGTGTGCAAACACAGGTGCCATCCACTCATGTGCGAAGGTCCATTCACCTGAGTGGAGGACATGTGCGCCCGAGTTGTGCATGCACAGATGCACCTGCCACTCACAAACACATGCCCGGGCTGAGCCATCAAGTTGGAAAGGTTGGGGACTGCTGCTCTACCTGGAAATTTCTTCATGACAGGATATATAAGTTCCTAGAGTCCTTATATAGAGAACAGTATAACTGTCAGGACGGCCTCCTTTCATTATCCAAGAAAGAAAAACCCCGACTCCATTTTCATAGAGAAAGGTAACTTTTACTGGATAAGAACTGAATGCAGTCAAAGAAAAGCAAGGTCTGAAGCAAAGGCACGAAAATCACATATAGAAAGCATCCCCCCCCAACTGTCCAGCGTAAATCATCCAATCCACAGGTTCTCCAGGGGTCACGTGGGTGCAAACGTCTGGCAGTGTCATCCTCTTGCTATGCCATGACCACTGACCTTGAGACGTTATCAGCTTCAAAGAAAACACTGCAGCAAAGAATTACTTTCTTTTTCCTCCAGCTCGCTTCTCCCCCTCAAGAATCCCAAGAGCTTCCCCCTCCCCCCATTTCATGGCAGCCGAGCAAGTAAGCAATGAAAGAGCAGAGGCTAACATTCGGCCCCCCTGCAGAAGAGACATTATTCCTACAAGAAAAAAAAAATGACATAAAAACAGATGATCACACAATTAGAGCAAGATATAAAACAGATTAAGGTTTATCAGGATATTTGGAATGAAACAATTGCACTTTCTTTGGAACACGAACATCTCGCTTATTCACCCATTCAGCCTTAGATAATGGGAAATGTTTCCAGGCCACCAAGTACTGCACCTTACCACGATGCTTTCTGGAGTCTAAGATCTCTTTGATCTCAAAATGCTGTTCCCCTTCAATCAGTATGGGGACAGGAGGAGGTTCTTGGTCTGGACGCAAAGGGGACGAATGCTCTGGTTTTAACAAACTTACATGAAACATCGGATGAATTTGTCTCAATTTTTTTGATAGCTCCAATTGTACTGTGACTGGGTTAATGATCTGAACTACTGGAAAAGGACCCACATACTTGGGTACAAGCTTCTTAGACTTTTGGGTAGTTTGCAGGTATTTGGTGGAAAGGTAAACCATATCACCCACTTTATAAGTCCATGGTTGAACCCTCTTCTTATCAGCTTGGGCTTTATGCGCCTGATGTGCTTCATCCAGTGCCTTACGATTTACTGACCAAGTGCCCCGTAACTGTTCAATCCAATCAACCAAGGAAGATATTTGTGGATTCTCCTGAGGCAACTCTGGAATGGGCACAAAATCTTGGCCGGAGGCCACTTTGAAAGGGGTAAAACCTGTGCTGCTATGTATGGAGTTATTATAGGCCACTTTTGCGAACGGCAGTAAATCTGCCCAGTTATCTTGCTGATAATTTATGTACCATCTCAGATATTGTTCTAATACGGAATTGGTTCTTTCACAAGCCCCATTTGTCTGGGGATGGTGGCCGGAGCTTAACCCTTGGGCGGAGCCTATCAACCCTAGGAACTCTTTCCAAAAATGGGAGGTAAATTGAACTCCTCTATCCGAAATTATACATTCTGGAGCACCATGTAACCTGTAAACACGTTGGACAAACATTTTTGCAAGTGTTTGTGCAGAAGGAATCTTGGAACATGGGATGAAATGCATTTGTTTGGAAAACAAATCAGTAACCACCCAAATAACTGTGTTCCCCCCACTTTCGGGCAATTCTAAAATAAAATCCATGGCGATTTCCTTCCATGGGGCACCCGGTCTGGCAACTCTTTGAAGCAGTCCAGGTGGCTTTCCGGGAGGCCTCTTGGCCGAAGCACACACGGGACAACTGGCCACATATCTGTCTATGTCCTTCTTGAGTGTGGGCCACCACAATTGCTGCTTAACTAGATGTAGCGTTTTCACAAACCCAAAATGCCCAGCAACTTTGGCATCATGGGCGTGCTGTAAAACTGTCACTCTCAGACTGGCGGGAACATACAGCTTGGCTCCCACCCAAGCATGCCCTTCCCGAAGTGTACACTCATTTGAGTGGGCCAGAAACCACTCGTCAGTCTTTAGAGCTTCTTGTAGCTGCTTAGTCAAGTCATCCGACAAAGTGGGATCTGCTTTCACCTGGGCTCTAGTAACTACTGGTGTCGCCAGTTGTATTGAGGGGATAATTGGACGAATCACCCTCTGCTTAACACTACTGTATTGTGGCAGTCTAGAAAGGGCATCCGCCATGAAGTTCTTCCCACCAGGAAGGTAGAGCAGGGAGAAATTAAATCATTTGAAGTGTTGAGCCTAGAGGACTTGTTTTGGGGACAGTTTACGTGGTGTCTTTAAAGCTTCTAAGTTTTTGTGGTCAGTCCACACCTCAAATGGGTGCTTAGCTCCTTCAAGGAATTGTCTCCATGTCAGCAGTGCCCAACAAACCGCAAAAGCCTCCTTCTCCCATATGGCCCATCTCCTCTCGGTCTCCGTCAGCTTCCGAGAGGTATAGGCACAGGGTTGCAGCTTTCCTTCTGCATTCCCTTGTAGTAACACTGCCCCTACTGCTACGTCACTGGTGTCAGCCTGTACAACAAAAGGGGCTTCCATGTCCGGATGTTTAAGGACCAGTTCGGCAGCAAATAACCATTTTAGTTTCTCAAACGCCGCCTGACAATCCATAGTCCATTCGGGGGGCCGGGAGGGCTTTGATTTCAATTCTCCTTTTGTTTTCAGAAGATTTGTAATTGGTAATGCAATTTTGGCGAACAAGGGGATGAACTGTCTATAGAAGTTAGCAAATCCCAGAAAGCTCTGTAGTTGTTTGTGGGTGCGTGGTGGGGCCCATTCCAAAACTGCCCGGACCTTCTCCAGATCCATCTCTATTCCCTCATGTGAAATGCGGTACCCTAGATAATCAATTTTGTTTTGTTGGAATTCGCACTTGGATAGTCTGGCATACAGTTCAGCAGTCCTAAGTTTTTTCAGGACGGTTCTCACCAACTTTATATGGTCATCCATGTTATCAGTGTAGATAAGAATGTCATCCAGGTAGACCAGTACTCCCTTGTACAGGTGTTCATGCAGTACTTCATTAATTAGTTGCATGAACACAGCAGGGGCTCCTGGCAGTCCGAAAGGGAGCACCCGAAACTGGAAACATCCCAGCGGGCAGTTAAAAGCCATTTTCCATTCATCCCCTTCCTTAATGCGAACTCTATAGTAGACCTCCCGTAAGTCCAGTTTGGTGAAAATTTTCCCCTTGCCTAAGTGGGCTAGCATGTCCTTCATGAGCGGCAGGGGGTAGACATTTTCTACGCAAATGGCATTAAGGTTTTTGTAGTCAACCACCAAGTGAAAGGACCCATCCTTCTTTTCCCGGAAAAGTACTGGCACTGCCACCCTTGGCCTAGCTGGTTGGATAAAACCCCGTTTTAAGTTTTTGTCAATAAAGTCTCGTAGTTCCCCCAGCTCCCGGGGGGTCATGGGGTAGATTTTTGGCTTAGGGAGTTTTACTCCAGGGAGTATTTCAATGGTACAATCTGTGGGCTGGTGGGGGGACGGCACATCTGAGGCCTTCTCGCTGAACACCTCCTGGAGGTCCCAATACTCCTTTGGAATCTTTTTCTCCCCCGCAATATGGTCTGTCGCCGTTGCTGCCCTCTCATTTTCCACTCCGTCCACCAAATGGGGTTCCTCCCCTTCCTTCCCTGGGTTTTTGGAGCGAATGCGCAAAACTCCAGTTCTCCAGTTTATGCGTGGGTTCCATTTACGGAGCCAAGGCAGTCCAAGTATGAGGGGCCATTCCATGCCCAGGGCCACTATAAAACAAAGAGTCTCTAGGTGATCCCCCATTTGCATCTCGATTGGCTTGGTCACAAAATTGGCTGGGCCACCTCCTGCCACCGATCCGTCTAGCTGACAGAATGCGATAGGCCTTTTCATCGCTTTTAGTCTTAGACCCATCTTTTCAACCATGTCTGGGCTGATTACACACCTGGTGCATCTGGAGTCTAGGAGGGCTGGCATCTGGCCGTGGGCCCCAGTGGATGGTACCCTTAGTTCCACCGGGATGGTCATGGGGCCCCCATTGTGACTCATCAGGTCGTCATCGGATTCGGTGTCGGTCTCGCTGTCGTCAGCGGCGGTCGGAGTTCCCAACTCACCCTGTTTCAGGGGAGCGAACTCAACAACTTCTCCTTTCAGGGCGGTCTTGCAGGCTTTTGCGGAAGCTTTGTCAGCCTTCTTTCTTCCAGCAAAGGTCACCTTGGGCGCTGGTTTGGAGAAACACTCAGTGGCTTGGTGCCCCTCCTTCCCACATTTGAAACATGTGGAGGATTTTGGCTTGGGCCCTGTCTTCCCCACTGCTGCCTTTGGCGCCCCCTTGTGGAATAAGGGGGGTGGCTGATCCCAAGAGCACCCACCACGGAGCCAGCTTCGGGCCAGGTCGATCTCCACATCTGCTGCTACCACGTACCAGCTCTGCAGATCTTCAGGAACCCCCCATGAACAGCAATCTTTGTAGACATCCTCATTCAGCCCATCTTTATAATTCTCTAGTAGGGTTACTTCTGACCACCCTCTCATGTAGGGTGCCAACTCAGGGAACTCTTGGGTGTATTCTGCCACCGATTTCCGGCCCTGGTGAATGCCCTTCATTCTGATTCTCGCTTTTCGCTCAGCTAAGGGTCCTCAAAACACACTCTGAGGGCTCTCATAAATTGATAATAATTTCTCAGCAAGGGGGAGTTATTATTGTGGAGTCCCACCATCCATTCAGCTGCTACTCCCTCTAGGGCTTTGGTAACACACCTCACTTGTGCGGCATCTGAGAGGAAGTCCTCTCCCCAATCCTGCATATGGTTCCACACTTGGGTCAGGAAAAATCCCAATGTCTTCGGATCTCCTCTGAACTTTTCTGATATGGGGGGAATTTTTGGCTTTCTTTGCCTCCGGGGTGGTGCCTACATTGCCGGGCCCCCTGGACTGCTGCCTCTCCCGCTTAAATTCCAGAGGCTTGAGAAGTTCCCTCCCCAGCTTGCTCTCTCTCTTCCCCACAAGCAGCAGCCTCTGGTTCATCCCTGGGGTGGTCCCCCCCCTTTCTCAGCAGGGTAAACATACCTCTCCCGGCTTCTACGGCTCTTCTCAGCTTCCTTCAGAAGTTGCAGGGCATGTGTGACCAGGAGGCTTTCTTTTTGCTCCTGCATCCAGGCAGATTCTCCCTTTCGGGGTCTGGTGCTTGTTACTCCGGGGGGGGGGGTGTCTTTTCCAGCTCCGGTAGCCTCCCCACTCCCACCGACCATCTGGCTTGCTCCGGTTCTTCTTCCAGCCATAAATTTGCCATCCAGTCCGAGGCTCCCCCCCACCCCCCCAGGTGGAATGACGAAGCTGTTGAGCCGGCAGCTCCCATCTGGTCCTGGTCGCTGTCTTGATCAGACATTGCTTGTTCAGCCCCCTCGGTAGTTTTCCAGGATGGCTGTTAAAAGCAGACCTTGCTTAATGTCAGGACGGCCTTCATTATCCAAGAAAGAAAACCCCCAACTCCATTTTCATAAAGGTAACTTTTACTGGATAAGAACTGAATGCAGTCAAAGAAAAGCAAGGTCTGAAGCAAAGGCGCGAAAATCACATACAGAAAGCATCCCGCCCAACTGTCCAGCGTAAATCATCCAATCCACAGGTTCTCCAGGGGTCACGTGGGAGCAAACGTCTTGCTATGCCACAACCATTGACCTTGAGACATTATCAGCTTCAAAGAAAACGCTGCAGCAAAGAATTACTTTCTTTTTCCTCCAGCTCGCTTTCCCCCCTCAAGAATCCCAAGAGCTCCCCCCTGCCCCCTTTTTATGGCAGACGAGCAAGTAAGCAATGAAAGAACGGAGGCTGACAATAACACCATTCGGCCTAGAGTTTCTGTTGGACCATCATCACTTGGAAATAACTGAAGATGCATTGGAGTACCCTTAAAACATCCAAGGACTGCTGAGGCATAGTATCCAACCTGATTAATGTGAAGGCCTTACAAAAGCCTGTAAATTATAATTATAATTATAAAATTGGAATGGATGATAAATATGTGGTGAGAATGGATCCTTTTGGAAGCATATGATAAATATTAGGATGTGACACATTACATAGGCTTATTTGGAGATCTAAATCCCAGATTTGTTATTTAAGGGCAGTTCTAGCACTATCAAAGCCTAATGTGCACAGACTTTCTATAGACCAGCGCAGCAACTCAATTTTATCTAGCGCTTTTTAAAGCTACAATGATTTAAAATGATCTGTAAATAGTGATGGGCCCAAACCTACAGGGAATAAAATTAACTTTAGTCAGAAGGTAAGAATAAACCATACTCTAGCATTGAAACTATGTCTGTTTATATTTGTAAAATGGCATTTTTAATATTATTTGGAACCATCAAAATGGCTCTAATAAACTTATTTTGGTTGGTTTTGATAGTATTGAGTTTTGTAGAGAGCAATTTTTGGAGTAATAGAGAAACTATGGGACTACCTTCACTTGGAAGACCTTGTAGGCTGCAGGAACATAATGGCTCCTTTTGAATGATAAAAACTTACAATAATTGTACAGGTATGTTGTGCAACACTTCCTCGGAAAGAAAAATGAGCATGCCAAAGATAAATTGCACTCCCAAGAAAGGTGCATGCCTGTTCAATTGGAGTCCCATTTACTTGCTATTTGTGGATTTTATGAAAACGGAGGCAAACCCCTTCCTAAATGTCCAAATTATGCCCAGAAATAAAACTTGTCCAGGTTTACCCTTTCTTGAATTGATTCTCCAGGAATGAGTTGAGGTTCAATTGTAATGAACAAGGAAAGGTAGGAACCATCACTCAGATGCTGCATGGAATCATATTTTCTGTCATTTTCCACATTTTTCACTTTGCTGTAGCCAAGAAGAACGGGAGGAGTATCAATCTTAAATGTGCCATCAATCTAGATGGAGAGAAACAAAGAGTCTTGAATAAAAATAACAATAGCAATAGCACTTAAGACATATACTTCCCCATGGTGCTTTATAGCACTCTCTGAGCGGTCTACAGTGTCAGCATATTGACCCCAACAATCTGGATCCTCATTTTACTGACCTTTGAAGGATGGAAGGCTGAATCAACCTCAAGCCTATCAGAATTGAACTCCAGGATGTGGGAAGAGTTAGCCTGCAATGCTGCATTTTAACTACAGCACCACGAGGGCTCCTTAAGCATTAATATTCAAGAATGCTGCAGTAAGTTATTTATATGAATGCTTGTGTGTAAAAATGCTTTCTTCAGCACTTACTCTTCCTTGAAAATATACTGTTGTAAATGGTATCCGAACCAATCCAAGCCAGCGCTTTTCCATACAGGTATGGACCCCACCGATTTCTCTTTCACGATCATCCTAAGAAAATGTCCCAAAAATCTTGATCAACATTTGCAAAAAGAACATGCTGAGCTTCCCTATTTCTCCCCGTAGATTCTCTAGAATTAATGTATTTATTTAATATGCCAAGTTACAAAGCTATCCATCTTACAGTTGTGAGTCTGGGTAACCAAAATACAATTAAAACCAACAAATAATAATAGTAATAACACCATAATAGCAGAGTGGCATTCAAAGATAATCCAATCTAGTTCAAAAATATAAAAAACTCCAAGATGGCGATGGTGAGCAGCAGCTTTGAGCTTTGCTCTTTTTTACTCTCTATTTTTACTCTTTTAGTACTTTTTCTACTTTTAAATTAATTTTTAAATTGCACCACTTGAGAGGTCAGCCTTTTACTCCAGCTTTCTACTCCAGTTATAATTTAAGTAATGGGGAAAAGAAAGAAGAGACACTCTGCAATAGATTTTAACCAAGCCTTTGAAAGCAGCAGAAAAGGGAAGACTACACAATGAATAAGCAGACAACTTCAGTGAGTAACTTTGCCTCTACTCCTCCACCAGATAAATATAGCATTCATAACTCCTTGGAGAGGGATCTGCAGGTGAAAGGAGGAAGCCAACAGCTTTTAGAACTTTCTTCCTCCTTGACAGAGGATGCCTTCCTCCCCTGACTCCCACGGTTTGTTCAGCAGTTGCGGGGATGATATGAACCTAAAAAGGGAGTGTCAGATCCCTATTGTGATACTGCCATTCCTGTGGGGATGGGAGCCTGGATCATTTATTCACTTATTTCCCTCTTCCTGTTTCCTACATATCCTGCAACCTCTTAGTTTATCTCTAGCTCTAGCATCTATCTGCCCTGTGCTTTGATTTACCTTTGGGGAATATGTAAAGAGGGAGGGCCATCTGTTCCCCGTTGAAGACATCAAAGCCGACTTGGGGACCCTCATGAAGCCCAGATGATCAATCAGAGTGGGGAAGAAGGACAACTGGGACAGAGGAACCCGAGGAGTCACCCTCACCCGGGGCAGTTGACAACCGGGCTGGAAACGTGAGCTGGAAGCCCTTTCTAACCAGGAAGAGCTGATCGAAAAACTGGGTGGAGATGACCGCCCAGTTAAGAGAAACATTATGCAGTTTGTAATGGAGGCTCTTGAAAACCTCAGAACCAGGGGGAATTAGATCGACACCAGAGAAGTGGTGAGGCAGCAGCAGCAGTCAATGAGGTCGGGACTGCCACTCCAGATCCAGCAGCAGCAGGCCAAGCAGATGCAGCAGTGGGGGGGGGGGGCAGCAGCCATCCAGATGAACCCACCTTGCACAGCACCAGCCCTTGCAATTGTCCCTGGCCACCCCAGAGTGCCGCAACTTGAGAGGAAGACACCCCCCCCAGGAGTGAAGTATGATGGCAACCCGCAGCAACTGGGGTTTTTCCTCGCACATGTCCTCACATACATGCAGGAGTATGGGAGGAGTTTCCAGACCCAGGCCCAAGCTGTCATCTTGGCCCTGGAAGGAGTAGCTGCCTGTTGGATGGTGACCCTCCACAACACAGATGCCTGTGAACTGCGTAACTTTGACCGATTAATGATGGCTCTCCACCACTGATTTGAAGACCCCTTGGCAGACCACAAAGCTCGTGATCGCATCAGAACTGTGAAACAGGGGTGAAGGCTGGTAGCTGAACACACTGAAAAGTTCTGAGACCTTGCCTGCAGAGTGGACTGGCCGGAAGACATCCTAGTGAGCTGGTTCAAAGATGGCCTGAATGACAATCTCTACCATGCCTGCCTGGCTCAAGGGGCCCCAGTCTGCCTGCACGACTGATACTTCCTGGCTGAAAAAGTGGAGATTGACATGACCAGAAACCAGTACCAAGGGGAAAGAGCCTGGAAGAGATCCCCACTCCAGGGGAAGTGAGAGCCATTCAAGCTGCAAACTCCTCTGGCACCGGGATCATCTGCCTGCTTCAAATGTGGGAAGGAGGGGCACCGTGCAGCTGAATGTCATTCAAAAACTTCAGCTCGAAAGCCAGAATGCCTGTCTGGAGGAAAGCCCATGAAAACAACCCCCCAAGGAAAAGACACTGCACTGAGAAGTGGAGAAACCGCAGAGTTTCGTCCCCTTGCAAAATTGGGGGAAGGAAGTCCAGAATCACCTGGGGAGGAACTGGGCACGTCCAAGAGTGACCCTGAAGATGACCCACTGGTAAGCGAAACAATTGAGCCACTCTCTCTGCCACTAAAACTATTCATCCCCTTGGGGGGGGGAAGAGTGAAAATCTCAGCTCTCCTGGATTCAGGGTGCACCCAGTGTTTGAGTAACCCAACCATGATGGGAAAATCGGGTATACGCTTGTGGAAGCTAAAAAAAACCCATCGCATTCTGCCAGTTAGATGGGTCAGTCACAGGGGGGGAACCGACCATTTTTGCCACAGAACCCTTGGACATAGCAATGGGGACTCATGATGAGAGACTCACTTTCATTGTGGCACCTGGAATGGAATGGCCACTAGTCCTGGGACTTACCTGGCTAAGGAAATGGAACCCCAGAGTAAACTGGCAACAGGGACCCTAAAGTTCCAATAGGAAGTGACCGGACCAGATGGCCGAAGGGAGGAACTTGGAGGAAACCTGAACAAAGAAACAGCTGTGGTTGGGAGAGCCGCACCAACACAGGGCGTTCCCAGGGAATATAAGGATTTAGTGTTCAGTGAAGAGGGTTCCAATGAGCTCTTCCCCCCACCATCCCACAGACTGCGCCATTGAGATCCTCCCAGGTACTAAACTACCAAAGCCCAAGATGTATAGCATGTCCCCCAGAGAACTCAAGGAATTGAGGATCTTCATAGATAAGAACCTGGTTAGGGGATTCATCGAACCAACACCAACACAACCAAAAATTGCTGCTCCAGTGTTATTCCAAGAAAAGAAAGATGGGTCTTTGTGCTTATGCGTGGACTTTAGAAACTTGAACACTATAAGTGTAGAGAACGTGTATCCCCTTCCCCTCATGAAGGAACTTGTTAGCCCACCTATCCAAGGGGAAAATATTTTCAAAACTGGACCTAAGAGAGGCTTATTACCGAATCAGGATTAGGGAGGGGGACAAATGGAAAGTGGCTTTTAACATCCCCTTAGGGTGTTACCAATTCAAAGTGCTTCCATTTGGACTGTAAGGGGCTCCCGCTGTGGTCATGCAACTCATAGAGGTGTTCCATGAGCACCTATACAAAGGGGTTCTGGTGTATTTAGATGACATTTTAATATACACTGAAACAAAAACTGAGCATGTAAAACTTGTCCGGACAACCCTAAATAAACTTTGCGCCACTAAGCTTTATGCAAAACTGTCTAAATGTGAGTTCCACAAGGATAAAATAGACTACCTGGGATACTGGATATCCCACAAGAGTGAGGAAAGTACAAATGGTGATTGATTGGGCCCCTCCCCGCACATGCAAGCAACTGCAAAGTTTCCTGGGGTTTGCAAACTTCTATTGACAATTTATCCTGGCTTTTGCGCAAATTGCACTCCCCATCACTAATCTTTTGAAAACAAAAGAGGGAGACAAGCCAATGCCGAGGCAACCCTTAAACTAGACTATGGAATGCCAGGCGGCATTCGAGAAATTGAAACAATTATTCACAGCTGAGCCAATCTTGAAGCACCCAGACCCAGAAAAACCTTTCGTCATACAGGCAGATGCCAGCGATGTGGCTGTTGGGGCAGTCCTATTCCAAGAAAACAAACACAGCCAACTACAACCCTACACGTACACCTCTAACAGACACTGAACAGAGATGGGCCATCTGGGAGAAAGAGGTATATGCAGTGCGATGGGCTCTCCTAACATGGAGACATTTCCTAGAGGGAAACAAAATCCTCTTCTAAGTGTGGACTGATCATAAGAATCTGGAGGCTCTTAAGACCCCACGGAAACTGTCCCCAAAACAAAACTTCAGTCTCAAATATTTTCCTGCGGGAAAAATTTTTCTAGCAGATGCGTTGTCTAGAAAACCACAGTACAATAGTGAAAAGCCCGAGGTGATCAAACCCCTGCCCCCAGCTAGTGGCCAAGGTGATAACAAGGGCGCAAGCTAAAAAAGACCTAGTGGACAATTCCACCCTTCAGGTGTTCAAACAAGCCCTACTAAACGATGAATGGTTCCAAGCCCATAAAAATACCTGTTTACTTAGAGATGACTTGGCTTGGTTGGGGGGGTAAGTTATATGTTCCAGCTAGTCAGAGGCTACCCCTCATGAACTTAAGCTACGATTCTAAACTGGCTGGCCACTTCAGCTTCGTGAAAACCCCATCATTTTTTTCTCAGTTCTGAAGCCTCTGGAGAGAAGTGCTTGGGAACAGTCCCTTATCTCCTTCCCAGGATAACCGTCTTCACAACATCTTCACACCTGTGGATTGGCTCATTCAACATCAGACTGAGGGGAGGGGTTTCTAACTCCTTTATCCTAACAGAATTGCTTAAGGGGACTTTAGAGCCTGCTTTGCTTTTGTCTTGCAATCATTTCCTTTCAATAAAAGGTTCCTTTTGAAATGCTGATTTCAAAATGATTTGGGGAGTAGAGGCAGAACCTTACAGGGAGAATGTAATGGATTTCATATCTAAGCAATGTCTGCTTATAGCACAAACAGTGAGCTCAAATTTTGATATTTCAATCTCAAAAATAAATGATTCATTAAAGGAAACATTGGGGACAATACACTGTACAGTAAAACCACTAATCAATATGCCTCTACCATGTACTCAGGACTGTGGCAATATACTTAAACATCAAATTGCTAATACTTCCACAGCATTAAAAAAAAACAAAACCCAGCCACATTGTTAGTGGTGGATCTCTAGTGTTCAATCCAGCCTCTGGTAACTTGCAGCCAAACTGTTGTCACAACTAGAGAATTCCAAATATAAAAACCTGTCTTCTTTGAATTCAGATACTGTATGCTTCCAACATCTGTCTACAGCATGGCTTCCCATTTACATTCCCCAGAA